AAGTGCTTTTTTTTTTGGTTCCAACTCATGCTATGTAAAGCACATTTAATAATACTTAACATTTATTCAGCCTACTTATTAATCATTAAAGAATACCAGCTATCAAAATAATCCATAGTTAACCGAAATAAAGTAATCACATAGTAAAATTACACCGCAATATTGCTCAGCTTTCAGAACAGATGGAGAAGTCAAGCAGAGAGTTTTTAGATGGTTTATTTCAGCAACTTTTTAATTTTGTTGCTGCTTAATTTTCAGAAATTTGCTAAGATAATTACTGAGTTATATCATATGCTGTGCTTAGGTATGCACTGCTGAAACATAGCTTTTTATTTTTATATTCTCCTGTGAGATCTGCGGATCCAGACTCAGCTAGGAAGCCAAGATGGAAACATCTTGATGGCAGCGCAGGAGATCTGGCCAGACTTCTCTCTCCGCTGCTCCTTGTGGTGCCGTGGTAAATGAGTGTGGCTGTCAGGTGCCAGCTTTAGTCTTTGAATCCTCTTTTTCCCACAACCAGTTAAAATCAAGAGCAATCCAGATGGCTCGCCTTTTGTTGGAATGACTGATGCAAGAAGCTGAACTAAGAAGATAAAAGGCCTTTAGCGATAGCTCTGGAAATATAAACAGTTCCCAAGGAGGTGTAACCATTTTAATAAGTGTGGAGTTGGCCGCTGACCCTGCCAACTGATACTTGGCAACGTGAGGGAGATGCAGAGCGCTGCTCGCTGAGCACAGTAAGAACCTGACATGGACTGTAAGAGCATCCTCCTCTTGAAAGTGTAAAAGTCCGGAGAAATGCAGGGACTAAAGAGCCGGAAGAACTCAGAAAACCCCTGAAAACAAGGAGCAAAGTCAAGCTGGACACATGCATCTCCCTTTCAGAGACAAAGCAATTCTTTCACTGAGTGAAATACGTGACAACAGGTAAGGGGTGTGAGACTGGACTGGCTCATAGGGTAAAAACTCCTCCTACATCTTACTCCGAGATCCTAATGCTCTCACAAGGTTTCACCACACATGAAACGACTTCTGCCTTGATAGCATGGGCTCTCAATGTTTTCAGTTAAGGAAAAAGTATTTGAGAACATAGAGGTTTAAAGCGACGTATATCCAGAATATAACAAGCATATACTGCCTTACAATATACATGCTATTATAGAAAAGACCTGACACACGCTTGCTTCCCAGATGTAATAGGTTGGTCAAAGATGTGACAAATCACCCACAATCGAGACCTTCCACACCACATTTCAGTGCTGAAAAGCAGATAAATTACATGTTTCGCTCTATGCTTTATAGGTGCCACAAAAATACTGCAGATCTTACAGTTTCATTGTGGAGCCCAGCTGGTTCATGTTGGTAAACCTGGCTTGCTAAGTTTGAATGGCACCATTTTTAATCCGTTTTGAAAAATGTTGGGAGTAATTTATTCTGTCACAGCCATTTTAATTAATGTTGAAATAAGCCACCTCTGTTTGGGGGCTAGATTGGAGGATTTCCTCCGGGCAAGTCCAAAATTTTACTTTACCTTGGATTTTACCTTACCTTCTTTCGCCTTGCTCTGTAGCATCCGTCTCTGCACTGGGATTCTCATGGTCTCAGTCTTAACCTTAATCCAAGCCAATGGTGACCATACCCAACCCGTTCTCTACTTGGCAAAGGGAATAAGAGAACACTGCATTTTCTGAACTATAGCAGGGGTACACGACCAAGGACTTGAGCTGTGTAGACTTGCAAACCCTTCTTAAACCTTCCTGCAACAGGTTTTGCTGCAGTTACAAATGCTATTGTAACACCTGGATGGGCATGGGAGAAGATACAGGCAGTGGGACACCACACAGGACAAGGGGCTGCGGGTGCAAGTTGCAGTGAAGGAAAGTTAACCAGTTGCAGTGAAGGAAAGTAACCAGATGGCGGCTCACGGCTCAGACAGGTGTACTCTGCGCTGGGTCAAAAACTGGCTGGACGGCCGGGCCCAGGGAGTTGTGGTGAATGGAGTTACATCCAGTTGGCGGCCGGTCACGAACGGTGTTCCCCAGGGCTCAGTTTTGGGGCCAGTCTTGTTCAATA